CCAAGTCTGAGCCTGAGAGCCTGGTGAGGGGACAAGGTCAGGAATGTTTGATATTTGACCTTGATTTTGCTGCTGATTCTTCTGAAACCCTAAGGAATTACCTCTGCATCCTCTGACTCATCTGTTCGGTAGCATCACCACTGAGTGCAGGGTAGATACATGGTTTAGAAAATATTCTTTGCCAGCCTTGTTGAGAGTAGAGAATTGCCAGGGAGGAAATTATTCCAGCAGATAATCACTATGTGATTAAAACCTAAACAGACTGGGAATGTTAAAGGAGCAGAGAGTCCATAGGCCCACGGGGTAGTTAGGAAATTCCACTGTGATAACCTACTGGTTTAAAGCCAAGAGGACCAGAAGAAGAACATGGGAGCTTTTAACGTCGACTGGGGCATGGCCTGTAGTACACAAGCCCTAGAGAAACAGGGTAACGTTAAAAGGGCAAATGAAAGAATTAAGATACCCAGTTTTGGATGGTTATGCAGTGAGCAAGGTAATAAGTAAGAAACTCAACAAATGGCTGGAGAGATGGCTCAGCACCTAGAGGAACTGAGTTCGGTTCCCAGCACCCGTGTCAGGTGGCTCACAGCCGCCTGGAATTCCAGCCCCAGGGCATCTGGTGCCCTCTTCTGGTTTCCATAGATACCCAGACAGGCTCATAAATAAAACTAAAATTTCTTTTTAAGAATAAACCAGGAAATATTGTCACTAACTACTAGTGACGGTACAAGCTGGGGTAGCAGAAGCTAATGTTGGGAGGCCATTGTTTACAAGGACTGCTCAGGAGAGTTTTCCTCAAGGAGCTCGGCCTTGGAAACTGGGAGATCCTGGTGGACTGGAAGGGGGCAGGGCTTGGCCTGTGGAATTGAAAACAAGTCCAGAGCTAGAGCGCAGTGATGCCAGTGTGAGGTGGAGTGGAATGGAGAGGAGTTCAGGGTAGACTTAGAAATATTTCCTTATTCCTGAATAAGATAAAGCTGAGAAAATTACAGCGTGGGCAGTTGGTTTACATGTTAATGATGGCCAGAATGCAACAACATCCTATTGTTTCCGTATCCTGTGAGGTGAGGTCATTATCCAAGTATTGGCATAATGACCTATTGGGAAATTTCCCATAATTTCCTATTGGGAAAGGCTTGGGACTTAACAGGGTCTGGTCTTCTCCAAGAGTGTGAAAGCAAACGAGAGAATCAGGATAGGATTGCTAGGCCAGGCACCTCCTTGTGCTTTGTGGTGATTTTTCAGCACCATTTCAAGCCAGCTGTGTAGCTTTGTTCACCCCCTTGGGCCTTCATGGGGGTGTGCACAGAGAGTGCAAATGTTGGGGAAAGCGATACCATCCCCAGTTAAGACTGCGCTGGGTGGGTGGTCCACCATATTTGTAATTCCCGCACTCTGAAAGCTGGGGCTGGTTGTCTAGCCTCGGTACTGAGACCTTGTCTCGATAAAAAGAAGATGAAGTACAGACTTGTCTAGAGTCCTGAGTGTAGCACAGGTGATATTTTAGCCTAGATATTTGATGGGCTCTCTAAATAGTCAAAGCCCCAACGTCGAAGCTTCCATTCTGAGAACTAAAGTGAGCACCGTCCACAGCAGTTGGACCAGTTGTGTAGAGGTACGAACGGCACCTGCTGCTTCCATCCCTGCCACAAGGGACCAGTTCCTTAAAGGGAGGAAGATGTCTTCTCTTAGCAGTTCTGGCGGGGAATTTAGTGTGCAGGCTCTTACGTGCTAGATAGTAAGTTTCAAAATTAAATAGTCAATTGCTGTTTTGTAAAATTCATAGTGAGAAAAAATTCACACAAAAAACACCTATTAACCCACGAGAAGGACAGCATCCTAATTCCTGGTACAGAAAAGGCAGTTTGGTAGAGAGAAAACTTGCACAGTCCAAGAATATTGATTTTAGTAATCTGACATCATGTGTAAAACTCAAAATGATGGTTTATTGGTTTTAACTGTAACTTTGACAGAAGCTGGCCAATGGCCAGACAAATTCTCTAGGGAAAGAAAACCGGCAGAACCTGCATTTTGTTTTCTTGACGGAAGCAATATTTCTGTTCTTTGGCTGTCAGATGTATCAGCACCAACAGTGACATTTAGTTGTTAAAACTATAGTGCTTGCCTGTGTTCCCACTGCAGAGGCTCCATCTCAGCAGGGGGGAACGTTGGTATCTGCCTAGATCGGAGGATAGTTCCGGAGGTAGTCTGGGAGATGGCAAACCAAGAGTATATTTGTTTTCCTTCTCTCCCAAAGACCCACCAATGGAAGTGATAGGGACTTAACGGGTAAATCCATAGTGATGGTGGGAACAAAGTAATCCTCACAGACACAGTGTAGAGAAGACTATGTGGAGGTAAAGTGCGGCTCTCCGGCTTCCTGGCAGGGAGCCCTCTGGGGTTTTAAATTTAGAGTCTCCAGGCATAGTCATCAGGAGCTAAGAAGGGCAGTAGCTGGGAGTTGGGCCTGTGGCCCATTCCCTTCTGTTTATTGGAAGGAACTTCCGATAACATTTGTTTTCACTGTTTTCTGTATGTAATGAATTCTTGACCTTGTTTGGTCCCATGGAATAAGCATTTGGCATCCTAGAAAGGTAGAGTGGAGACGAAGTGACTGGGCTGTAGAACTAACTTAGAATGAAAGATGACTAGATGGGACAGAACTACCCTGTGCGAAGACAATACCAAAGCAACTAACGCGCTCTCTTCGACAGTTGAATTGTTTTAAAATGAAGTTAGTGTCCCCCGCACCCCCAACCAATATACCCCGAAGGAACGCCGCATTGTTAACAATTCCTGCTACTTACACTAAACTGGTACTGAGGAATGAGGCATTTTGCAAAAATAAATCTCTGTTGCTTCAAATGAAACCGATGCCAGTTGTCTATACTAATCAGTTATTCTGGTTGAAGTGAAAGGCAAGAAAAACTAAATATTTGATGAAGAAAGGCACGAACAGGGGCTGGACAGATGGCGCAGAGGTTAAAAGCACTGGCTGGGTGGTGCACACCTTTACCCCCAGCACTCAGGAGGCAGAGGCAGGCGGAGCTCTCTGAGTTCGATGCTACACAGTGAGACCCTGTCTCAATTAATTAATTAGTTCTTTCCTACGTGAATGGGAGGCATGCAGAAGAGTTTAGGGTCGCTCTTCTTATTGGATCACAGTTCATAAGGCAAAGTCCTTTGAAAACTACAAAACTTAGTACGTCAGGGTCTTACACTGTTTCTCTTTGCCAGAGAACCTCTGGAGATGTAATCAGACCTGGATGTCAAGAACACAAGCTCTCATTTTCTCAGAGTAGGATGGGAAAGGATTTTATTATCACAAAACTGAGGTTCAAACACTTGATATAGTTGCAAAATTCAGGCATTTGAACGCACATCTTAATCATTAACATACTAAAGCAAACACTAAAAGGAAATTAAAATGTTCTATAATAGGATTCAAGTATGAGCCTCTGAGATAAAATGTATAATAGTCGTAGAAGCACATCCATAAAGCTGAGTTTTTATACAGCCATAACTTCAGACTGTCACCATGTAAAAATACTCATGACATAATATGGAAAAATCAGAATGCACATTTCCTGTGCCCTGTGATTTTCACTAAAATATATACAAGCAAGATGAAAGTTCATAAAACTGCTTATATGAACTGTAGTGTAACAGTCAAAATATAGGTAATTTTCCTGTTCTACATTTTATATTCTCAATAATGTTATGTAGAGTTTGTGGTTGAAAATAAGGTACCTAGTCTTTCAGGAGTGAAGTCTGAATTTTGAAAGTCTCATAAAGAATTCTTGGTCAGTGTCCAGAAACCTATGGGCAGAGTCTGGGTCCTGCTGTTTGACTTCTGTTAGAGGCTGGACCAATGTAAACTGAGCCAATAGCAGTTTGTTCTGGTTAACTCATCCCCAAACCCTTTGCCTGATGTCCCTTGCCTGCTAACGCGTTTTATCCCTTCCCAGCCAGGAGACTGCGCTCTGTGTGTGTGATGGTGGAGCACGTGTGTAGAAGTGGTGGATCACGTGTGTGGATGATGGAGCACGTGTGTGGATGTGGTGGAGCACGTGTGTGGATGTGGTGGAGCACGTGTGTGGATGTGGTGGAGCATGTGTGTGCAGTGTTAGATTGGTCACTGACTCCTTCCTTCCTGCATGTGTGGATGGTGGAGCACGTGTGTGGATGTGGTGGAACACGTGTGTGGATGGTGGAGCATGTGTGTGGATGGTGGAGCATGTGTGTGGATGTGGTGGAGCATGTGTGGATGGTGGAGCATGTGTATGGATGGTGGAGCACGTGTGTGGATGGTGGAGCATGTGTGTGGATGGTGGAGCACATGTGTGGATGTGGTGGAGCACGTATGTGGATGGTGGAGCACGTGTATGGATGGTGGAGCATGTGTGTGGATGGTGGAGCATGTGTGTGGATGGTGGAGCACATGTGTGGATGGTGGAGCACGTGTGGATGGTGGAGCACGTGTGTGGATGGTGGAGCATGTGTGTGGATGTGGTGGAGCACATGTGTGGATGGTGGAGCATGTGTGTGCAGTGTTAGATCGGTCACTGACTCCTTCCTTCCTGCATGTGTGGATGGTGGAGCACGTGTGTGGATGGTGGAGCATGTGTGTGGATGTGGTGGAGCATGTGTGTGCAGTGTTAGATCGGTCACTGACTCCTTCCTTCCTGCATGTGTGGATGGTGGAGCACGTGTGTGGATGGTGGAGCACGTGTGTGGATGGTGGAGCACGTGTGTGGATGGTGGAGCATGTGTGTGGATGGTGGAGCACGTGTGTGTAATGTT